CTCCTCCCAGTGGCGCCCGGTGGTACTTGTGGGCATCCATGCATGCGAGGATCTCGGCCAAATGTCCCACCCGGCAAGTCGGATGAGAGGCAGAATGACCAAATGGCCTTGGTCACTGGTCCACTCATTCGTTCAATAAGTATTTCTTGGGTGTCAGCCACGTGCCTGCATCAGACTCTGCCCTCGGAGCTCGCGCTGGGGGGAGGGGGCACCTAGTACAAATAGGCAACCACACCCTCTGTGTCCCAGAGTCCATGCGCCACCCCCTCTGCCCCCCCCAAGGGTGGAGGGCTGACCCTCCCTCCCCTCCCCCCCCAGGAGAGCTTCACCTTCCAGGTGTCCAGCAAGGATGTGCCCCTGGCACTGATGGCCTGTGCCCTCCGGAAGAAGGCCACGGTGTTCCGGCAGCCGCTGCTGGAGCGGCCTGAGGACTACACCCTGCAGGTGAACGGGAAGCACGAGTACCTCTACGGCAGCTACCCCCTCTGCCAGTTCCAGGTGAGGGCGATGGCTGGGAAGGGCCCTGGGCCCCCCTTGAACATGAGGAGCCAGGCCTCTGGGGGTCCTGGCGAGAGCGTCCCCTTGCTGGGCTTGCCCGCCTCATGAGCACAAGGAGGGCTCTGTCTTCAGGAAGCGGGTGGGGGCAGGAGAGTCCTCAGGAGGGGCCTGGAAGGCCTGGGGTAGGCGGTGGTCAGCATCGGGGAGCCCCCCGGGTCGGGGAATGCTTGGGGCTGCCCCGTCGGCCGCTCACTCTGTGCCCCCGTCTCAGTACATCTGCAGCTGCTTGCACAGCGGGCTGACCCCCCACCTGACCATGGTGCACTCTTCTTCCATCCTCGCCATGCGGGATGAGCAGAGCAACCCTGCCCCCCAAGTCCAAAAACCACGCACCAAACCGCCCCCCATTCCCATGAAGAAGGTGAGCCGGTGCCTTCCGCTTCCCCTCCCCTCCATCCCTTCCTCCCACCTGTTGTCCGGCCCCGGAGCCTCGTGGCCACACCGCGGGCTGGCGGCCGGCCCAGGACGCCTCATCTCAGGCTCCTTGGTTGGTCAGTGGCGACAGCTGGGCCTTGAGCTTGGCCGGCCAAAACTACACCAGTGTGCTGGGTGGGGGCGGGGGGCCGCCCGAGCTTTCCTCTGGGGCAGGGCTCAGGGGTCCCGGCGCACCTGCACGGCAGGTTTTCTGGTAAAGGCAAGTGGGTACTTGAGCCTTGCCACAAACCGACGACACTCTCAGCCCACCTCCGAGTGGCCACGGGCCTCGCCAGGGGTCAGGGGCGCTAGCCACCAGAGCCTCCCCTGGATTCCTCTGCTTTGACAGCCCTGCTTCTCCCCCCCACCCTCCACCCCGCCCCAGCCTTCTTCCTTGTCCCTGTGGTCCCTGGAGCAGCCTTTCTGCGTGGAGCTGATCCAGGGTAGCAAAGTGAATGCGGATGAGCGGATGAAGGTAGGGGGCTTCTGGGGGGAGGGGGGATGTTTTCTGCACAAACAAGGTGGCTGTGGTCTAGAGGGGTGGTGGAGGAAGAAGGCGGGGGGGGGGTCACATGAAAGCCACCTGACCACATTACCCAGCATCCCTGCCTGGGGTGGTTGTGAGCCGCTTCAAAACAGGAAGAGGGGAGGGGAGCAGGCCGGCCGGCCAGAGAGGCTAATTCGTAGAAACCAGGCCCAGTGAGTTCTGGGTATTTGACTCTGGTAGAAGTGGTGGGCCCAGGCCCGGCCCAGGGATGTGGGAAGCACAGAGTCTGGGAGGTGACAGGTGCCGAAGAGGAGCGGCTCCAGCTGGGCCCTGGGGCCTTGAGACTCCCTGGGGACACTTGGGAGGTGTGTGGAGCACGGGCGGGGACCCCTGGGGGCCACGCCCACTTCTGGGCCGTTCACACACCCCATCTCCCTCAGTCCTCAGGATAGGATAGCCTGCCAGGTGTCTGTTTTACTGTCCCATTTGCTGGACATTACAGCTGGGTCCGCAGAGGTCGAGTCTCTTTGTGGAACACTTTTTGTTGGGGTAATTTCGCAAACAGGGCAGGTCTGGGGTTCCCGGATGGAACCCTGGAGCATCGGAGGGAAGCAGCTTTCTGGCTGGGCCGGAGGGCTGTCAGGGTAGAGCTGGAGGAGCCAGGGTCGGCGTGTTCAGGTGGCATTAAACATTCCCCTCCTCCTGGGGCTCGCACAATTCTGAGCCGTGGAGGTAGGCTTGGGCATTAGAACTGGAAGGGCCCCTGGAGTTCCCAAGCCCCAGTGGGGAAACTGAGGCCCAGAGCAGGGCAGTGCCATGACTTGGGGTCCCACAGAGGCATGGGGAGCCCATCCCTTCACCCTGTGGCCCCTTGAACCTCTCAGGCATTCGGCCGCCCCTCTTCTGTGCCACTTTCTTCCACATGGAAAGTGGGATTCAGACCCATGTGAAATGTGGACATTTCGGGAGCCCTGAGCCTTAGGTGGTGGGGGGAGAACCTGGGAGTGGGGAGAGGCTGGGTCTCTGCCACCTGACACCTGCACCTGCACCTTCCCCAGCTGGTGGTGCAGGCCGGGCTCTTCCATGGCAACGAGACGCTGTGCAAGACGGTGTCCAGCTCGGAGGTGAGCGTGTGCTCAGAGCCCGTGTGGAAGCAGCGGCTAGAGTTTGACATCAACGTCTGCGACCTGCCTCGCATGGCTCGTCTCTGCTTTGCACTTTACGCCGTGATCGAGAAGGCCAAGAAGGCTCGGTCCACCAAGAAGAAGTCCAAGAAGGCGGTGGGTGGGGCTGGCTGGGAGGCTGGGGCCAGGCCTCTGGGAGCCAGCCCACTGTGGGTCACTCCCCCTTATCCACTCAGAGCAGGAACGCACCTTGGGGATGGGGGGTGGGGAGTCCCGGGAGGGCTGGCCGACCCAACCTCCCCGCCCCTCCTGCACTGGCCGCCACCCCTGCTACGTGAGGGCTCTGGGTTCCAGGGCTCATGAGCATGGTGACTCGGAATATCTGGGCCTAAGCCTTCGGTCCTGGTGGGAACCTGGAGGCGGCTCCCTGGGGTAGGAGGACGGACGCACTGTCCTCACCGGGAGCAAGAGTGGCCTGAGTCAGCAGCCAGCAGGGAAGGCACGGTGGTTGAGCACTGAGTCACCAGGGCCCGGGATGTGACTGGCCACTGAGCCATGCTGACTTACCCATAGCTGAGCTGTGCCAGCCTTCTGGGGCCGGTGTGGTTCGTTTGGGGGTTTCTCAAGAAGCCAGGAGCAGGGATGCGACTGGAAGTGGAAGGGAGCCAGGAGGTGGCTGACCTTGCTGGCTTCCTCACGGGGAGTCTGGGTGAGGGCGGGGAAGGCGGCCTGGAGGCTACACCCATCCTGCAGATGAACAAATGGCCCTGACCTGCCCGTGGTCTTTCCCAGGACTGCCCCATCGCCTGGGCCAACCTCATGCTGTTTGACTACAAGGACCAGCTCAAGACCGGTGAATGCTGCCTGTACATGTGGCCTTCCGCACCAGGTCTGCCCCGGCGGGAGGGAGGGGCCCGGGGGCGTGGGCTCCCGGCCGGTGGCGTTCCTCGTGCAACTCCCATCCACCCTGTGTCCAGACGAGAAAGGGGAGCTGCTGAACCCCGCGGGAACAGTGCGGAGTAACCCCAACACGGAGAGTGCTGCTGCCCTAGTCATCTGCCTCCCTGAGGTGTCCCCCTACCCTGTGTACTACCCAGCCCTGGACAAGGTCAGCCCCCTCGCCAACCTGGCCTGGCGGGACCCGCCCTCCCCAGAGGCTGTGGGGCTAAAGATGACCTTTCCTGACCCTGCCTCTGGGGATCCCCAGAGCATGGTGCCCCCCCCCGGCCCCCCCGCCCCCCGCCATCCCCTAAGTGGCTCAGGGCCAGGGCTTGGTCACCACACACATTTGGGGACCTGCTTGACTCTCTAGAATCCTAACCCGCTAAAGCAGGTGGGGAGCAGTGGTTCTCAGTCAGGGCCGCTTTGTTCCCCAGGGGGGTTGGGGCCATGTCCAAAGACACGTTTGGTTGTCACAGCTACTGGGAGAGATGCTCCTGGCATCCGGGGGGCGGAGGCCGGGGGTGCTGTGCACAGGACAGGTCCCAGTGCCCAGGCGTTGACGCTCCCCTTCCCCAGAGCACCCCTCCC